TTTTAGAAAATTATTGTTATTAATTTATTACATAGATATTAAGTATAATAAATACATGTAAAATTTTAATTATACAAGTACATGCAATAGTTTAGTTAAATAAGTTAATTAAATAGATTAAATGAACAATTATAAATTTTTATATTTGTTATTTAATTTTTTTTGAATAATTTTGGCATTATTTACAAGTATATATGGGGGATGGGGGAAATGAGTTTCGTGGGTTTTGAATACGTCACTTCACATGAGGTGAATAGCCTTAATTCAGGGTCTAATGTCACTGGGTCGGAACGGGTCATTTATATTTGTTATTTAATTTAATACCTATAGATTTATTATATTCATATATATTATGTACATAATATTTTTACAATTTAAATATGGTACTTACCCGAATGATGATATACTTGTAAATAACCGTTATATCCGTGATTAATGCCCACCCCTTCAGGTCAGTCGTGATTCATGAATAGATCAGATCAGTTGTAAAACAACGTCAATAGGAAACATAGCAAAAGAGATCCTCAATGCAACTTGACCCAGGGCTCAGTTTGGATGTTGGCATGGCATGTTACTTCAATTCGTTCCCAATCCCATCATTCCTAGTATCATTTTTAGACGGAGGCTTTTGATTGGGCTGTAAGGCCCTTTTTTTTTTTCTTTTTTTCTTTTTTTGTGTGTTTTGATTTTTTTTTTATTTTGTAATAATAATGTTTTAATTTGACATGACTCCATAGAAGCTGCTCCACAAGATCAGTGCCAGAGCTTGAATTATTTTTCAGAGTGGACAAATAAAGGCCATAGAAAAGAAATTTTTTAAACAATTATTATAAATAATATTTTTTTATAACAATAAATAATATTTTTTATTTTTTATTAATGGATTAATAATAATTAATGAAGTAATCTAAATGTTATTAATTAAAAGATAAAATGAGCATATATAATAAATGGATACCTTAAGATCATAGAATAAAAAATAATAATTATGTAACTATTATAATTTTTATTTTGAAAATAGTAAAATTGA